GCTGTGAAGGTGAAGGGAATCCATAGTGATGGGCTTCAGTTTTATCAGTGAAATGTCAGGCTAGGTCACTAGCTGGGGGTAACGATGGAAGAGGGCCTGGAGGTAGAAGGCTTCTGGAGGGAGGAAAGGTAAGGGCTATTTCGTTGCATAGAAAATTACACCAATTAGAGAAGCATGGTGTTATGGGCTGAATTGTGTCCCCCAAACTCCTGTAGTATGTTGAAGCCCTAACCCCCAGTACCTCAGAATGCAACTGTATTTGGAGTTAATGTCTTTAAAAAATGGTAATTAAGCTAAAATGAGGCTGTTAGGGTGGGCCCAAATCCAATATGGCTGATGACATTTTAAGAAGAGGGAATTTGGAAACAGATTGACACGAGACATATGCACACACACAGGAACAACCACGTGAAGACAGCCATCTGAAAGCAAAGGAGAGGTCTGTAGCACATCCTTCCTATGGCCTTCAGAGAAAACCCTGCCAACACCTTGATCTTGTACTTCTAGCCTCCAGAACTGTGGGAAAATACATTTCGGTTGTTAGGCCATCCAGGCTATGGTATTTTTATTTGGGCACCCCTAGCAAAGGAATACACATGGCAAGATTGCTGGGCAGTATTGACTTCCAATTTGGGGTTTGTGGTCATGAATTTAAACAGAAACTACTAACCTTAATTACGTGATTTTCCCCAGCAATATTTAGCAGTAAGGTCGGTTTCAACAAAGAAAAGCAAATGGTAGAGTTCATCCAGGAAATTTTCCAGTGAATTTATTGGAACAAGAACACAACACGTTAATTTAAAAGTTCAGTTTGGATAAACATTCAACTATGAAATGCCTATTGTCAGGCACTTTGTTAGGTGTAATGAATAATAAAAACAAAATCAATGTGCCTTCACCACAGCCTATACAAATTGCAGATATTAAAATGTGAATTATCTAATTAACAAAACTTAGTAACTTTTGTTAATGAGAAAGAACATTCCATGCTAGCAAATGAGATTGGCACTCTGATACATTAGTCTTGAAATTTGTACCATCCTTCTGGAAAGCCATTTGGCATCAGATTTCAGTGTTGGAGCTTCTGGCTCTCAATTCTATCTGTAACCTGTACATTTTCAAAAAGTATAAGGAGACTAAATGAAAAAATATATATGAAGGTTATCTAATTAATGGGAAATTATCTCAATGGGTAATGAGACTGATTTTCTTCTATATATTTTACTATTAAACATATGTATAGCAGTTAACGAGAT